TCATTCTATTGCTGACCTCTTCAACTAACAATAATAAAACACACACATATATCTTTCAGCATTGAAACTATGTACACAAGTTCATGATCCCCACCCCTAGATTGGTCTACTTCTACAAGGCTAGTAGTTATGTTTTGCTCTTTTTCTTTAGCTGTCAAGAACTGTAATAAAATGTACAATTTACATATAGATTAGTAGTATTACATACTCAAATGCATGCATATGTTTCTTAGTATAACTGTAGTATTACTGTTGATTCAATTTTCCTATAGCAAGCTTGCTGCTATTCACATACATACAACACCATTACTAAGATTAAATCAGTAACTGAACTATAATCATCTCATTAGAAAGAGAGAACCAGAGAGGGAGTATACTATACTAGTAACTATACTGGAACAGTTTTCATTACCATTTTGTAACACCTGGCATAAACCCAGACAGCTATGCTAATATCAGTGGTTATAGACTACAATATCTATACCATATGCTATCAGTGTTCTGATACTATTGGCAAAACAGCTCCACAAAAAAGTATGGCATGAACTTACTTACAATCCCTCACTATGAACATATATGTAACATTAACCTACAGTATAAATAAAACATTTTATTTTGCTATAATTTGTAGCAAAATAAATGAAATTATTATTGTATACATACAAAGGTCATCCCCAAAGATAATTATCTAAATAAGCAATTCCAGGAACTGTGAACATCTGGTGTCTGTCTGCTTTGAATATGTATGTGTAATACAATAATATGCATGTACATAATGTAAAGAACTTTTGCATGAAGTGAAAGGGTGAATTGAGTTAGGGCTTAGGAATAGATATAACCCAAACTGCATGCATTTATTACTTTTACTTGCAAAACTGATAACAGTATACATATAATAATAATCACAGATTGTGTAGCAATTTACAAACATGTATAAAGGGTACTTGTCATAAAAACCTATTATTAAAATAGTCATAACACATTACAGATACAATACAGTATAGCCATATGACTACTCTTAACACAACAACTGGGAACAATACCAACTTATAATGAAAGATAACAGAAGAACCATAATTAGTTCATTGAGATGACTAAAAACTCAGAAACCTTATAATAATCATTTTACTAAGATGTTGAAACAGTACTTTTCCTTCTCTGTCTCTCTTTAACTTTTAATGTTCTCTCTTAGGCCAATTCACACTGCAAAGTGTTACAATTGGTAGTGCTTTTAAATATATGTGCAACGAAAAGTTTCAAATCTTGCATACACAATAGGTTTATAGGCACTTAAACTGGTTGAAATCAGCTTTAATCAGATCAGATCAGTTCATTTCAGTTGGCTAGTAAATGCTGGTAATGGCAAAACATTTAGTTTTAAGTGCTATAATGGGCAGTCTTTGCACTTCCTGAATTAGTATCACTATCAATATTTAAGTGATAACGATTCCCAAACTGTTTTTACAGTACTACCAGAGACCAGTATGCTATATATAAAGGAGGAATTGGACTAGCTTCTTTACAGTTCTGAGTAGATTTTAGCTATATCAAATATGCTTTTAGTACAAGCTATACTGGTATTTTCTCTCTTATTTATAAGAGGAACTTATTCAGAAGTCGTTTCTTGTAATCACAAAACTCCAGTATGTCAGTGCACTACAGCCAGTGATGAAGTGTGTGAGTTTAACTTTGACATTGAGATGCTGCAGACCTTTACCCGATATCTGCTGGATGAGGATGAAGACTCAAGGGGCACTGCAGGAAGTGTCTGGCATATTAATAATGGAGAATGGGAGCTAGTTGATCCTACGGACACACTCTGTGGTAACTCTATTCGTAGTGAGAAATCTAAAAGATGTACTCAACCGTTTGGTGTTGATGGGTACACGTTTCGCTCCTTTATAGCAGTCAATGGACGTATACCAGGACCAACACTCATTGTAACTGAGGGTCAGTTGGTTAAAGTGAATGTAATCAATAGATTAGCATCAGAGAGTGTATCTGTACACTGGCATGGGATGCATCAAAGGAACAGTAACTGGATGGATGGAGTGGAGCATATTACACAGTGTGGTATACCTCCAGGAGCTAGTTTTACTTATATCTTTAAAGCTGAACCTTCTGGCACTCACTGGTACCACTCTCACAGTGGAGCTCAGAGAACTGATGGACTCTTTGGAGCTCTCATTGTTAAAGAGAAGGAGCAAGGTAATGCACAATACACTGCCTTCCTGAACAAGTTGAATGACATGAACATAAATAATTATGATGATGAAAAGCCTGGTGATCATACTCTCACTCTTCTTGACTGGCAAGAGTCAAGCTCACTGGATCTCTTCACACAAATACACTCAAGTATTAGGTACTTCGAAGTTGACAGAGCATCAGACCTCTCAGGATCAGGAGCTGGTAGTACGTATTCATCAGATGGTGCAGAGATAGGGCCCGTGCCTTATTGGTCTGGACTAATAAATGGAAGGGGAAGACATAATAGTGTTGATTACACTAATTCTATTTTAAGTGAGTTTAAAGTTACTGCAAGACAAAATTATCGATTTCGTTTAATTGGTGCTCAGAGTCTTTATGCTTATCGTTTCTCAATAG